CTGAAGAAAACCGCTCCTTCGGAAGGTGGACCCTCTGGCATTAAAGCCCACTGAGATCCCTCCCCAAGCCCTGCCCTCCGCAGGCGCCACCTCCAAATCTCCAGGAATATCCCCACTTGGAGTTGGCAAGCCTGAGTGCTCTTCCGTTTCAGCCAAAATAAGTGTTGGAAGACCCATAAGAGAAAGAAAATAATTAAATGCCAGGAGTGTGAGAAAAGCCGTGGGTGGTGAGATATCTTAACTAAATACCTGCAGTCTTAGTATAAACCCAAAGTACAATTGCCCAACCTCCAGGTGCGGCCTGGAGATCTCCCAGAATTACAAGCGATCCCCAAATGACAGGGATCAGTTCCCCTGGGGATTGAACCAGGGACCTTCTGCATGCGAAGGAGGAGCTCTACCAGTGAGCCACAGCCCCTCCCCAACACAGAAGACAGCTTCGTGTTTTGGGGGAAGAAACGCAGTAGCACGCCCGCTTTTCTTCTTGCAGAAAGGTCCCCACTTCAGTCCTCAGCATCTCCCGTTAAAAGGGCTCTCGGGTAGTGGTTGATGGGAAAGGCCCTTCCCAGCTGCAGTTCTGGACTAGAACAGCCAAGGGGTCTGATTCTGTAGAGGGCAGGGTTGTGTGTTCCGTTTACTTTCATTGTGCCATTGTCACGCCGGCTGGTTTCTAGAGGAATTGTGAAATATGTGTCTGAATCCCAGGGGCGGTGGCCAGAATTCTAGCTAGCAACGGTGAGGACTGCCGTCAAGTCTCAGCCAACTTACAGTGACCCCGTAGGGTTTTCAAGGCAAGTGAGGCTCAGAGGTTGTTTCCCTCTCTGTGGTGACCCTGGCTTTCCTAGGTAGTTTCCCATCCAAGTACTAAGAGTTTCCCATCCAAGTACTGAGAGCCAGTTTGGTGTAGTGGTTAGGAGGGCGCACTCTAATCTGGGAGAACCGGGTTTGATTCCCCACTCCTCCACATGCAGCTGCTGGTGTGACCTTGGGTCAGTCACAAGTTCTTTCAGAGCTGTTCTCTACTGGGTCGCCGCCGCCTGAGTATATTACAGCGCAGCGGCTGAGTGCCGTCGCCGCCCTCCTCTCCCGGGATCCAGCTTCTCTGCAGTCTAGCGGGGGCAGGTGGGCAAAATCGGGGAAACTGGGACGAGAAAGGGCCGAAGAAGGGGGACGATGCGACGCGGGGCGCAGCCCGCAGCCGGGGTCAGTGGCGTGGCGCCCGCGGTAGCCCTTGGGCGCCCGGTGAGGGGCATGACTTGGCACTTCCCAGCTTTGGGAGTTCAGCCAAGACAGCCCAGGAGAACATAAGAACATAAGAACATAAGAGACGCCAATGTTGGATCAGGCCAAAGGCCCATCCAGTCCAACACTCTGTGTCACACAGTGGCCAGAAATACCAGTGCCATCAGGAGGTCCAGCAGTGGGGCCAGGACATTAGAAGCCCTCAGGCCTGAAAAAGATGACATAAGCTTTCCTTTCTGTTTGTGCCTTGTTTTCTGTAGGGAGAAGTGCCTTTGGGTAACAGCCTGTTTGTCTAAAGACCCCCTCGACGGTCACTGCGAGAGGAGCCTTCAGGCCGTGGGACTGAGGCGTTCTACTGACCTGACGCAAAGGTGAAAGACAGGCGCACAAACATACAAGCAGGCCCCAGGATTGCTCCAAAACACGGCGGCGGAGTTCTCGAACCCATAACTCGGCGATGGGATAAGGCTTCTCTATGGCCTCCCGGAAAGCAGTTACTAAGCAGGGCAGTCCGCCATCGGCCTTGGGTCTTCCGCTCCAGGCCCCGCTCGAGCACAGGGTGAAAATGGAGAAGAACCCGTCCTGTTCCAGACCGGTGGAGGGTGCCCGTAAGGGACCTCGCGGCGTTCAGGCTGGCGGCGCGAAGGATCTCCCGCGTCGGGGGATGCCCCCCCAGATTAAACAGGAACCGGACGAGGGGCTGGCCCAGCAGTGGGAGGCCCAGTGGCAGGAGTTCCTGAAGGTGGTGCAGTCCCCTCAGTCGGGATGGGGGACCCCGCAGCTGCCGGAGCTGATGGTTTTTGGCGACCCGAAGGGTTTCCCGGCCGCTCGCGGGACGATCCAGCATGCCTTCGGCAGGGGAGGCGCCTGGAAGGTGAAGGAGGAGGTCTTGGAAGAGGAGGCCGTCGGCGCAGAGACGCAGCGGCAACGCTTCCGGCACTTCTCCTACCGGGAGGCCGAGGGGCCCCGCGAGGCCTGTGGCCGCCTCCGGGAACTGTGTCATCAGTGGCTGAAGCCGGAGCGCCACACCAAGGAGCAGATCTTGGAGACGCTGGTCCTGGAGCAGTTCCTCAGCATCCTGCCGCCGGGGATCCAGGGCTGCGTCAGGGAGCGGGGCCCCGAGACCTGTGCCCAGGCGGTGGCCCTGGCCGAGGGCTTTCTCCTGAGGCAGCAGGAAGCTGAGCGTCCGCGGCAACTGGTGAGAGACGCTTTGTCCGTCATCGTTCTGGGGAAGCGCTTAGGGCCGGAGATGGGCTTCATAGAACCATAGAGTCGGAAGCAATGTTCCCTCTAAGCTGTGGAGTCTTGTGAGCGAAAATCCTACTTGCCGCAGCAGCTGGTGAGAGATGCTTTGTCCGTAATCGTTCTGGGGAAGCGCTTAGGGCAGGAGATGGGCTTCATAGAATCATAGAGTCGGAAGCAATGTTCCCTCTAAGCTGTGGAGTCTTGTGAGCGAAAATCCTACTTTGACAGCTACGGGCATTTAAGTTGTGAGCGAGCCATTTGGTTGTCTGCATAAATTAGTTTGCTTTGAGGCCATCCTTCCTGAGCTAGAGCAAAAATCTGTGAGCTGGAGGCTAAAAAACTGTGAGCTGGCTCACACCAACTCAGCTTAGTGGGAACACTCGTCGGAAGGGACCTCCAGGCTCATCTAGTCCAACCCACTGCACAATGCAGGGAATTCAGAAATACCTCCCCCCCACACACCCCCAGTGACACCAGTTCCATGCCCAGAAGGTGACAAAAAACCTCCAGGATCTCCAGCCAAACTGGCCTGGAGGAAAATTGCTTCCTGACCCCAAAGTGGTGATCAGCATGTCCCTGGGCATGTAAGAAAGGGCCACGAGAACTGAGCACTGAATCAACCCTTCCTGCCTTCCCTCTCAGACAACCTCTTCCAGACAACCCTGTGAGGTAGGTTAGGCTGAGAGGGTGTGACTGGCATAAGGTCTCCCAGCGAGCTTCTGTGCAGCGCAGGAATTCAAACCTGGGTATCCCGGCTGCGGTGGCTCAAGTGGTTAAGACGCTGAACTGCAGGCTGTGGAAGGTCAGTAGTTCAGCAGTACAAGACCCGGGTGCCGCAAGACGGGGTGAGCTCCCGTCTCTAGTTCCAGCTCCTGCCAACCTAGCAGTTCGAAAGCAAGAAATTGCAAGTAGATAAATAGGGACCACTTCGGTGGGAAGGTAACAGTGTTCCGTGCACCTTGGTGTTTAGTCATGCCGGCCACATGACCACGGAAATGTCTTCGGACAGCGCTGTCTCTTCGGCTTTGAAACGGAGATGAACACCGCAACCCTAGAGTCGGATTCGACTGGCTTTCGAGCAAGGGAACCTTTACCTTTGCCTATCCCGGCTTCTAGTCTGACACTGGCTCTCAAAGACTATCCAAAGCCCTAGGGTGTTGTTGTGTAACCACTACGCCACACAGCCCCCATATTTACTTATTTGTTTGTTTGTTTGTCAAATGTATACCACGCCCTCCTGGCCGAGGCCGGCTCAGGGCAGTTTACACAGAGTAAAACAGAAATTACAATTAAACAGTTTTAAAACCCAACTAAAACCTTTACCTTTACCTTTTTAAAAACCATCTAATATAATAAAGTGCTAATAATCATATATCATTTAGAAGAAGAAGAAGAGGAGAAAATATTGAATTTATACGCTGCCCTTCACTACCCAAAGGTGTCTCAGAGCGGCTTACAAACTCCTTTCCCTTCCCCTCCCCACAACAGACACCCTGGGAGGTAGGTGGGGCTGAGAGAGCTCTTGACAGAAACTGCTCTCTTTCAAGGA